GAGAGAGAGAGAGAGAGAGAGAGAGAGAGAGAGAGACACCAACCGTACAGATATGCACACATGTATGAACACATTTCATTCATGAAGAACACATGTGAATTTCATACATAAATGAAGGAAAGAATTGGGTATTACTCAGAAACAGCAAAGCCAGCAACAGTTTCCTGCAGTAGAACAAAAATATTTGAGACCCATCTTGTTTTAGCATCCATCTAGTTTTTCCACAGGCTATATATAAGATTCCACTGGATCATTCTGTTGTTGATCAGCCCAGGGCTGCAGATGCAGCTTTAGTTCTGACTCGTTCTTGGATAAACTGTTCCTCCTCAAATGGGATACTTCAACAATAGGTTGTTGAGTTCTTTCCCTAATAGCCTTTGGCTATGGTCTAGAATTCATTTCTGCCTCTCCTGTGGGAGTCATCCAAGATGTATGGAAAGATAGATGCACTCAGTCAGATATCATCAATTCAATTCGAGTGAGAACTTAAGTGGAAGTCCTTGCTTTCCTCTTCTACAGTGGTGCTTGAAAGAGAATCTAGATAGAAGTACTTGGTCACTCATTCTAATGGCTGCTGCCAGCATAATTGCATCCGTAGAGGCAAGTTTAGTTCCAGATTATTGGGAGATACTTTCTATTTAGCTGAAATTGTAGGTTCCATATATCTTTATTATGCAAGATTTTTCATAACTATACAGACCGCACCCGATTAGTTCTGTAGTGATTGTGTCAGATGTAGATGTACATTTGCCTCTTCTCTAAATTCTTTGGCTTCTGATCAGGTAGGACCTTTGGACTGTATAATAACACTACAATTTTGTGCTGACTGTAATTTATTCTCTAGCTTCTGGCATAATGTACATTTCAAATTCTCAATATTGATAACATTTTCATTATACAGTTAAGTGAACTATTTCATATCCTTTGTGTAGGAGGAGGGATTCTTCCTTATGATTGTTCTGTCTCCCATATTTATGAAGTTCCTATTGCAATTAAAAATGAAGAAGCTTGTCATTAAAGATTTAACCTTGCTTATAGCTTCAGTAGTTTTATTTTATCTCTCAAACTTTGGTTAAATCAATTTTGAAAGTCAATATATTTTTCTTCTGTTTTTGACATTTCATAGTACCTCTTGTTCTTTTCTTAGCATTTTACAGTATCTTTTGAGCCATTGGTCAGCCATATTGTTCAAACTCACTTGGAAGGGAACTATTTTGATTGCAGTCACAACTGCCTTTTGAATGAGTGAACTTCATGCTTTCTGGGCTGAAAAGGAAAAGCTAGACCTGTAATAAAAAATGTATTTTCTTCCAAGGTGGTCTTGGACCTCCATTTACTCTGCAAACACTCACTGTTCTCTAGATCAGTGGTTCTCAACCTGTGGGTCGGGACCCCATTTGGGGTCGATCGACCATTTCATGGGGGTCGCCAAGCAAGGCTGTCCGCCATTTTTTTTGTCCGCCATTTTTTTCCCCTTTTCCGGCGGGTGCCTTACCTCCCTTGGGCTGGGCCAGCTGGTGGTCGGCCTGCTCCGTCTCTGCTGCTTGCCAGCTACGCCTCGGCCGGCGCAGGGGGCGGAACCACGCATGCGCGGCGCTCCCGGGCAGGGAAAGTCCTCGACTTACGACCGGTTGGGTAGTCCTCGACT